GAGGAGGTGCCTCTTGGTGCCCTCTTGGTGCCCCTCTTGGTGCCGCCGAAAACGAGCCTGAGGCCAAAGGCTTCAGAGCGCTATCGCCAGTCCTCGGCCAGCTTGCCGGCCTCAGGATGCCTTCGGGCAGCCGCGCCCCGCCGAGGGCGCTCCGGGGCTGTCCGGAGCGTCCCGCGAGTGGCCGCCGGAGGCCCGAGCTCTGACCCCGGGAGCCAGGTCTCCAGCGAGGTGATGGTGCCCCTCCGGGGCGCTGTCCCTCGATCTCGGCCTCTGGGGGCCTGGTGGCCGGGCCCAGGGGCCATCCACGATGGGCCGAGGATGGGGAGGAGGAGGAGGAGGAGGAGGAGGAGGAGGAGGAGGAGGAGGAGGAGGAGGAGGAGGAGGCTGCCCCCGGGGGAGGGGAGCGGGAGCTCTGGGCCTGCGCGAATGGCAGAGTCACATCGCGGGGAGTTCTGGCGCGACGGCCCGTGGGCGCCGTGCCCTGCAGCTCGGCAGGGCGAGCAACTCATCACCACGTCTGGACGCAGATGCTTTGACGGCTTCCGAAGCCATCCCATGCTCGGCCCATGTGGGGGGGAGGCTTACCCCCTACCCTACCGTCTGGACCAGGGTCGCGACGCGATGGGGCGCCCAAAATTGCACAAGACTGCTGAGTTAGAGGGCCATGTGCTGGTCTGCAAGATGACGCAAGACTGCCTCCAACATGATCACCCCATCTCTGGATCCCATCGGAGTGTCGGGGGCCGCCCAGCTACTACCGCGCGTGGCCGGACAAATCGAGAGATGGCGGCCACGTTGAAGCAGCGGCAAGGGAGCGCGGACCGCACTGAGCAGCCTGACCCACCTGGCCTGTGCTGAATCCCACCGGCCCTCTAGGGCGTGAGTGGTTAAGAGCGTTTCCTGTTCCACCCCCCATTCTTCCCCTTCGGGGAGGCGTTTACCCCTCGTGCTGCCCCCTCCCACATGCCTGATCATGGGCTGGTGGGGATACTTTTTGGTACGTGGGCGCGCGAGACGGGTCGAACGCCGGGCTAGCAGGGGCAGGCTATGCCACTGGCTGCGGGCTGGTGGGATTATGCGAAGCGTCTAGAATCGACAATGGCCGTCGCCAGCTCCAACTGCCAATGGGTGCAACACAACCCCTGAATATCCCAGACATCCCTGTTCTGCCGCGCGTGGGCAACAAGCACGTCGAAAGACATAGCGCCAAAATGGGCCGTGTCATGATAAGCCAGAGCCGCAAGGTCTCGATGGCGTCACAGGGTCTTCTTGGAGCATTCGTAGACGATCGGTGGCCTCACCTAGAGACGCCGTGTTGCAACTTCAGCCGAAGAGCTGAAGATCCAACGATATCCAACTACTCATATGACAGGACATTGATGCCTAAGGGTGGCGACCACATTTGATCACATAATGGAGGTCCTATTGTCGCACGAATGCGACCTCTTGAAGGGAAGCGGCGGAACATCCTGGGGCTGTCCTAGGCTGTCTTGGGTCCCTTTTGAACTATCTTGGAGGCCTCTTGGGCCGACTGGGGCCCTCAAGGCCATGATGGGAGTCTCATGGGGCCGTTTTGGAAACCTCTTGGAGCCCTTCTGGGCTGTCCTACAGCCTGTAGGGCCCTCTTGGACTGTGTTGGGCCCCTCTTGGGCCGTCTGGGGGCCAGCTGTGGGCCCTCGCGGGGCCCTTTCGGGCAGTCTTGGGGAGAACCGGATGCTGAAAGTCTGCGGACGCCCAAGAAGCCCATGAGCTGTTCTTCTCTGAAGCCTCTTGGGAGCTCTCTTGGACCGCTCGTGGGTCGCACTGGCAGCCTGAGCCCCAAGAAGACGCTCCGCAGCAAACAGAGCCGCGAGGGCCGAAGGGCACACCCTTCAGCTGAAAGAACACGACGGGCACCAGCGCGTGGGGGGTCAACCGTGAGAGCTCAACAAGGCGACGAGGGCGCTTGATAAGGAACGATTGGATACGGAATCCAGGGTCTGGAAGCTGGTGGAGCACCGATTGAGGCTTGGCCATGGATATAACCGCCGCCCTGATCGGACAAGGAAGCCTCCAGGGCCTGAAACCACCTGGGCACATTCCTGAACGAACGCCCCCACTGTAAGAGAGAGAGAGAGAGAGCAATGCTCAACAATAACAGCGAAGCGAAGCGAGAGCTCGTGACTGGTCTCCAGGAGCGAAACGGGAGCTTAACAATAACAACTCACGGCGGCGAAGACGCGGCCAGTGCACGGCCAGGGCCGTGTGGATGCCCCCTGAGGGTAAGGGGCCACCCCAAGGGAGAAAGGGGGAGGAGGAGGACGAGGAGGAAGAAGGAGGAGGAGAGGGGGGAGGGCGAGGAGGAGGTGGGGGAAGGAGGAGGGGCAGGACAAGGCGGACGAGGGGGAGGAGGAGGAGGAGGAGGAGGAGGAGGAGGAGGAGGAGGAGGAGGAGGGTTCCGATGGTTCCGATGACGACGAGGGGTTCCGAGAACGAGGCACCAAGCCAGAAACGCGAGAATCATAAGCGCTAATTCCGAAAATCAGCTACGCGAGGTGATCGGCACAGGCTTGAGAAACCCATTTCCTATCTTTTCGCCTGACGGGCCCTTCCCCTGGATAATGTACTTCCTCTTAAAGTGCCTCGGAGAACCCAGGGGTGGTCTACCCTTACACGGTCTGGCTATCATATATGCTCTACTGACGCAACGAGCAGTACAATCTACACACCAAACCATCGGGCCCGTTTTCCAGAGGCGGTGCGTCTCATGAGCCGCTTGGACCCCCTTAGGGGGTCCTCCACAGCTCAAGTTCACAAGATCACACCTGCGAGCACGACTATCTCCGCACCTCGCGCAAGCCCATCTACGTTTGAACCTACGCACTAGAAGCCCACTATGACCACTCAGAGTGAGACCGGTCGGTCTCTCAACATACTCCTTCATTTTAGCAGGAGGAGATGCGTGCCCAAGAGGAGGAGGAGGAGGAGGAGGAGGAGGAGGAGGAGGAGGAGGAGGAGAAGGGCGAAGAAGAGGGAGGGAGGGAGAGTTGGAGGAGGGGGGTAGGAGAGGAGGGAGGAAGGTAAGGAGGGCAAGGGAGGAAGAAGGTTGAAGGCGGTAGGGGTTAGGTGTGTGTGGGGGGGGGGGGGAATAGGGAGGTAACTTCAGGGGACGGTCGTTACCCTGGGGGGGAGGGGGGAAGGGGGCCACAGGTAACAGTAACGCTTGGGCGGGGTGGGGCATGTCGGGGCGGGGGTGCGCTCCGATCGCCATGGTATGAGGGCGAGCACCAGCATGTGTGGGGGGGTCCAGGTCGTTACCATTACCCAGAGGGGGGTGGCCCTGGTAACGACCCTTACGCGTCAGATGTTTTAGACCAAAACAAAACAGAACTAAACAGAGGGGGTAGCGGTTAGGGGAACTTCTGAGAAGGCTCGGTCATTCTGAGAAACATCCCAGTTTTTGTTCCTTTAGCCTCGGGGCCCTTCGACAAAGGTCGCTGGCCTTCCAAGAGCCGCCCCGCCTTATCAAAGGCCGCCACCTTCGCGGCACAACCTGTGCGCCCAGCGACCCTTGGCCAGAGCTGTACCCGAGTAGCTGGGCAGGACGGAGCATCTGCGCGGCTTCTTGACTCTGTGAGGGTGCGAAGTGGCATATGAGATCACGCCTGCCGACCGGTCACCTTCCACAGTGGAAGAAGACCAAACTGCACAAACACAAACTTTCGGAGGTCCGCGCGGATTTATTCGCCTGGCGCTGCACACCCCTCCCCGGCGCGCGGAGCGCCGCCAGGTGGGCCCAGCGCCGACCAAAGAAATCCGCGCGGACCTCCGAAAGCGTATGCTTATGCCGTATATTGTTACTCCTCGTCTTCGGCGCGCAGCGCCTCGAGCTGGCACGAGTGAGGCCAGGGGGAGGGTTCGGGGTGGCAAGATTGTTTGCCCACGGCGTGGGCCAAACTCTCGGTCGACTGGAGCCGGACGGGAGGTGCCGTGGTCGGCGCCACAGGGGAACGCCCTGGCCTAGGCCAAACCTGGGGCCCCCGGGGGCGCGAAGGCCTCGTGCTCCCCGCCCTCGCCTCTGCTGAGCAGGGAACAGCCGTCCCGGTTTTCCTGCGGGCCTACCACGGAATTCTCCTTGAACCACAGCGTGTTCCTATAGCACAAGACCAGTGCCCTTAGAGCACGACGCAGGCGCATTACAACAGGACTGCCTCGGCCAGACCTGTCTTCATAACATCGCGTGCAAGCCACAGCCCGGCCTTATAACATTCTCCAGTGGGCCTGTAGGCAGGTCAGGACGCTTCACCGCTGCTCGACTCTGCGAGCACCACCGACGCCGAGTTCCTCCCCGCGCGCACCACGGCACGGGCTGCAGAGCACGGGCACCTCCCGCCCAGGACCTCTTTTTTGTTTCCCCCCTGAAAGGCATTAGGGTGACTTACAGCACGTTCTGAAATGAAACGATGCTCGTCCAGCATCAGACAGATCCTCTTACCCTCGTGGGGGCTATAAACGCACCCATTGGATACAGGCTAAAATGCGATAGCGGCTGTGACTTAAAGCGACCGGCCGGGTAGACGTCACCACTACCATGGAGGAGGAGGAGGAGGAGGAGGAGGAGGAGGAGGAGGAGGAAAAGGAGGAGGAGGAGGAGGAGGAGGAGGAGGAGGAGGACGAGGACGAGGACGAGGACGAGGACGAGTAGGGAAACCTCTGCGGCACAGCGGCACAGCGCGAAGGCCTGCCGCACGGAGGCCCGCGGGCCGCAGGATGGGGCAGGCGCCAGCGCGCGCGCGCGCGCTCTGCGTGAGGCCGCCCGAAGCTCCTCGCACAGTGTTGTATATTTTGCCCTGGGCTCGGCGCCGGTGTGCAGCTCGCAGTGTCCTGCAGACGCTCCAGACATGATGGCGTCATAAAAAATCAGGACGGGAAGTTTTTCGCTATTTTCGGCCCCTGGGGGCCCTCGCCGGGCCTCGGGGCCGTCAAAAAACGAATCAGGACGAACAACCGGCCCCGGGGAAAGGGTCTGGACCTCCAAGGGCGCCGTCCTGAAAAAATCAGGACGTCGCATGTCTGGGGCGGTCCTCTGTGGGGCCCCTGGGGCAGACGGCCGCGGCGGGAAGGCGCCGCTGCACGCCCGCCCCTCCCGCCCGCGCTGAGCTGTGCACGCAGCCAGCAGCTGCCGGAAGCCGAACTCGGAACGACCTCCACACGATCCGTCGAGTCCTCCGCCGAGCTCCTCGCGCCGGCCGGCGCCTGCGGCGCACGCCGGGTGCTTCGAGTCGTCCGCCGCCGGCCCGCGGGCGGCAGCCAGCCCTTGCGGCCGCGCGCCGCGCTGCGCGCTCCGCGCCCCGCGCGCGGCTCACGAGGCCCGCGCGGCCTCACATCTGCTCCCAGCGCGGCTGGGGCCCGCCCTCGCCCGCCTCCGCCTCCGCAAGCAGGGAGGCGCCCCCGAAGAAGGCGAGCCACAGCCAGACCGGGAGCCAGTGGACCGCGGCGGCGAGCCACAGGGAGCCGCTCCGGACGTAGACAAAGGTGCACGCCGCGCCGACCATGAGGGCCATGCTGAGGAAGCGCCAGTCGTCGAACACCGCCTTCTGCCGCGCGTGGCCCGCGTCCATGTGGTACGCGAAGGTGAAGACGAAGAGGATGACCGACACCTTGACCCAGTCGAAGGCCTCGGTCGGCCCCGGCAGCGGGAGGACCCTGAAGAGCAGCTCCTCCACCACGCCAGGCAGCACGAAGGTCGTGGCACCGAGGGCGAGCGCCTCGGGGGGGACAAAAGCAGGCACCACTATCGGTGCTCCCTGGACCTCTCCCGGGGTGCGCTCTGACCAGAATTCGAAGCGACTCCAGCCGTGGCGACGATCTCGCCCAAGAAGACGAAAAGGGTATAGCGGCACTGCCACGCTTTCCTCCGCGGATTCTCCTCCAAAGGTGTGGACCCCTGCCCCGGGACCGGCGGCTTTTCATCCTGAGAAGTCTTGAAGGTCCGGGGGCCCGGCCAGGGGCCCCCAGAGGCCGAAAACATCCGAAAACAGCCAGAAACCGCACATCGTGATTTTGCCACCTCGAGAGGATAGCGGTGTCGGTGGATCCTCCTCCTCCGTAGAGGCCTCCTGGATGGGGCCCGAATCACTGGGGTCGGGGGATCGCGCCGCATCGCCGATGCATCGGCGAAGCCACGGTGATGTCGACGATGCATCGGCGCCGACGGCGTGGAGAGAATCGCGCTCCACCTCGAGCCGCATCGCCGTTGCACTAACGGCGCGGCGCGAGCCGACCCCCTCTGCTCGGACTCCCTCGGGAGGCCCAGCCCCAGACTCTTTCCGTCAGCAGCCGAAGGCGAGCGCGCCGACGGCGAGCAGGGTCCGAGCGGGCCGCGCGAGGGCCCAATTACCAGCACAGAGCAGAGCAGGACCTACCGCCGAAGCCTCAGAGCTGCCCAGCCCCAGACGTCCAGCGCCCCGATTTTCTCGAGGCCCCGGCCCCCCCCCGACCTCCCGACCACTGCCCCGCGGGGGCCGGCTTCCCACCCCGAGCCATCTGCGTGGACGGCCGTGAGGCCCGGCGAGGGCTCCGACGGTCGCTTCGTGCGTCGCCTCGTTCGTCGCTTCGTGCGTCGCTTCGTTCGTTCGCCGCCTCGTTCGTCGCTTCGTTCGTCGCCTCGTTCGTCGCCTCGTGCGTCGCCTCGTGCGTCGCTTCGTTCGCTCGCCGCCTCGTTCCTCGCTTCGGAAGCACCTCCGTGCCCCGAGCTTCCCGAGGCGCCGAGCGTCTGTCAGGAGGAAAAGAAACACACAGACACAATGAATCGTCGATTCCCCCGAAAATATGGGAGCATATGGGAAGTGGGGGGGAAGACAAACACCCAGAAAACATGACAAAATAGGGGGAATCCTGTTTTTTGTGTGTGTATTTATTTGTGTCAGTCTGGGGGCCCCTGGGCGCCTGCCGCGCCGAGGCCGGCCACCCCGGCCGCAGGAAGCCCGAGGCCAGCCCGAAGGGCAGCAGGCACGCCGCCAGCAGCCCCAGGCAGGCCGCGAGCGCGCCCCCGTGGCCGGCGGGCGAGGCCTTGGCCGCGGCGGAGACGCGGCGCGCGGCCAGCTGCAGCCCGCCCCGGGCGCCCTCGCCGGGAGATCCGTCCCAGACGTCCCGGCGTCTCGACAACACATCGGGCTGCTGCAGCGGGGAACGCTGGATGGGGAACGCGGCCCTTTTTCTCGGCACCAGAAGCGCCGGGGGTGCACGAGGAGGGGTATATACAGGGGAACAGCCACGGAAGGTCCCAAGGCGCAGCGAGCCCCCCCTGACTCCGGATCCGCCCTACTTCGGGGAAATTCGTAGGTAGGGCTTGGAATCTCCGCCTTGCTTTTCAAGCCCCGCTGCTGCCCATCTCCGCCCCACTTTTCTGCCGCTGTTTCCGCCCTGCTTCTGTGGATTTCCACCCTACTTGATGCTGGGTGCAGGAATTTCCGCCCTACTTTTTCGGCCTCTTATAGGTCGATTTCCGACGCAGATTTAAGTTGGAAGAAAAGCCAAAGTAGGGCGGATCTGGAGTCAGGGAGATCCGTCCCGGACGTCCCGGCGTCTCGACAACACATCGAGACGGGCGTGGCACTCACGCGCCTCCGCTCGCCGGAATTCCGGCTCGAGGTTTCTTGCCCCCCCGGAACCTGTGTCCCCCCCCCCCCCAGACCCCGACGTCGTGTTTTTTTCACAACGTCGACCCCCAGAGGATTGGACCCCTTCCCCGGGACCGGTTTCGCATCCTGAGTCGTTGTTTGACGCTCCCGAGGCCTGGGAAGCGCCCCCCGGGGCCGAGAATGGCGAAAACCCCCCGGTCGTGTTTTCTTCACGACGCGCGGGGGTCTGGGCCTGTAGCCTTGCCTCCCCTCCCCGCCCCCCCCCTGTGAGGGAGGGGGGTCGCGGGGAGAGCGGGGGCGGCCCCTCCGAGGAGGTCGAGCTCCGCGCACGCCCTCGCAGGGCGCCGCAGGGCGTCCGGCCTCTCGGAGAGCCCTCTCGCTCGCCTGCCCAAGGGGGGCCACACGCTCGGGGGGTCCTGCTGCAGCAGAGGGTAAGCCAAGGAAAAATCGGTTCCGAGGAGCAACTGCCCTGGCGAAGCATTCCCAGACGAGGACAACCCAAGACACACAAAAAGGCTAGCCCCCATGATATAGCAGGCACGGGGCCCTCATACCAGGCCTCGGGACACTCAAAAAACAACTCGGGAGGAAAGACCGGCCCCCGGGCGGTGGTCGGGAAGTCGGTGGCCTAGATCTCGAAGAAATCGGGACGCTGGACGTCTGGGGCCAACACCGGGTCGGCAAATCGGATGGAATCGACACGTGCATCGGGTCGGGCCGCGGCGGCACGGGGCTGGAGTGGAGTCGGACCGGCCACGCCGGGATGCACCGCGGGGCCGTGCCAGCATCGGGCCGCACCGGATCGTCGGAGCATATCGCGATCGAATCGGAGCGGGCCCGCCGGGAGGATCGACATCGAATCCCAGTCATGAGCTACAGTCGGGGCGTCGACCTAAGGAACCCTAAATAGGGAACGAGGCCCCTTTTTTCCATAAGTTTCCTGTCGAAAACATAAGGAAAGCCTGAGGCAAGCTGTAAAACACTTAAGGAACGAGGAGCCCCTCCCTAACGAACAGGGTTCCTTCTTCAGCGCCCCGACTGTATCCTGATTTTTTCGGCACGGGTCCGCGGAAGTCCCGACCCAGAGGCCGAAAACGGCCAAATGCCACCCGTCGTGGTGTGGCTCACGACGCGGCCATGTCTGGAGTCGGATCGATCGGACCGTAGCAGGCCCTGCCTCGCAGGCCTCAGAGGTTTTCCCGGGGAGCAGTTTTTCGTCATGGATCCATTGATGCTGGACCCGGGGTCGCCGAGGACTGGCCACGGAGGGCAGAATCGAGGAAAAACGCGGGGATTGAAAAGCTCATATCCTCTGTGATCTGGGGGCTCGTCGTCGCCGTCGTCGTCGTCGTCGTCGCCGCCGTCGTCGTCGTCGTCGCCGCCGTCGTCGCCGTCGCCGTCGTCGGATCGAACTGGGCCCTGCCTCGCCGGCCACCAGGCAGACCAGGATGGCCCCCACCCAGCACGCCACGAGGGCGTAGCGCCAGGCGGCCTCCGCCATGCGGGGCCGGCCCACGGCCGCCCCCACGGCTCCCCCCCCCCTCCGCCAACCGCGGGCGGCCAGGGGGGCGGAGGCTCGAGGCTCGAGCCTCGAGCTCGAAGGCTCGAGGCTCGAAGGTCCAGGCAAGAGGCTCGAGGCTCGATCCCCGACTGCTCGAGCCTCGACGCCCGACCCCCGACTGCTCGAGCCTCGAAGCTCGAAGGCTCGAGGCTCGAAGGTCCAGGCAAGAGGCTCGAGGCTCGAGGGCCTCCGCCGCGCGCCACGCAGCCGGGCCCCGCTCACAGGCGCTCCGCGCGCGCACGCGGGCTCGCCTGGCCCAGCGCGGTGGCCGCGCAAGGCATCGCGTGGAGAAGGGCTCCCTGCCACGTTTCCCCATTGCGGTGTTTTGTTCTCTATGCTCGGACGCGTGTCGCTCCTGCCTGCAACTCCAACGCAAACACACACACACACACACATCGTTTTACGGTCGGAGAAGAGGAGCTGCGTGCACAGGAAAAAGCAGTGGCGGGTGAGCAGGAGGATGAGCGGGAGAAAAGGGACGAGGACGAACAGCACCAGCAGAAGAAACTGGAATGGAGTGGAAGGAGCGGGAGGAACAGGAGGACCTGGGGAAGGCGGAGGAGGGCAAATGAGGGGGCGACAACAATAAAGAAAGACGCAGATTCAGAAGTGGCCCGCGCTTGGGCGAAATCGCCTTTCGGAACGACGGGAGCAAAGCGCCGATCCCAGAATGAGGCCCGCGTTGCACCGGGAGTACCCTTTTGAAACACCGAAAACAATCGGATTCTGAGACAACAGCATCAGAGGAACAAGAAAGCACCGAATGAAATCCTGCGCGTGAGCAGAACGGGACGCGGCGAGGGCCGAGTATATCCTGGACGGGTGCTGGGGAGAGAGGATAATAGTACCCACATTGTTCAAGTGTGGTTGGGGGGGAAGGAAAGAAAGAAAGAGAGTCTGAAGCTAAGATGAACGAAGCAAAAGTGAGCGCACCTTTCTCCCGGAGCCGTCGCGACGGGCGACGGGCCGTCACGCGCGCGTCCTATGAGCACGGCCCGTGGACGCGAGCGCGCTCCTTATGCCTGAAAGCAACGGGCAACAGCAGCGGAAGGAGGAAGAAGGGGAAACCATGCCACCTGTTAGCTCGGCCGTTCGCTGGACGGCCTGTCACCTGTTCGCTCGGCGGCTCGCCGAGACAGCCTGTCACATGTTAGCTCGGTCTTTCGCCACAACCGCATGTCACCCATTAGCTCGGCGGCGCGCCTGGACACAGAAATGCACGCATCAGGGCGGGATGGAGAGAAAGGGATATATATACACACATATATATAGAGAGAGGGAGAGAGAGAGAGAGAGAGAGACAGAGAGAGACAGAGAGAGAACCCATCTCAATTTCACAACGCGCGAGCCTCCGTTGCGGCGCTACGCATGGCCTCGCCGTCAGGTGGGCGCCGTCCAACTCTGCGCACGGGTAATACATTGGATGCACACGTTTCGGTTGGAGCCCACTGCGGCCGCGACCGCGTCCATGCCATCGGTGACCACGACGTCAGCAGCCCAACTCCTTGCATGAGCCACGACATAACTCATGATATTGTATCCGACGATCTACGCTAGACTTCCCAGCCAGTCTGAAGGATGATAGAAAGAGAATGGAAGGCCGAAGGGGTCTACAGCACATTGATGGAGAACCACTTCTTGGATATGAATGAATTTAGATACCCACCCATCATGGAGAACGTCGCCCTATCGCGAAGATGTCGCCCTTGATCGCGACCGAAAGATTCGTGAGACTCTGGCCACTCGTCAACCCAATCAGGCGCTGCATGCGCCCCCTCGGACACCGCGATCACCCACGAGATATAGCGCCCAACACAACAACAGCGGAGCAACAATTCAAGGGCGGGAGGAAACGAAAGCAGCATGATAACCAAGAAGCAATGGTCGCGGGAGTATCAGGCGAGGGATATGCTCACTGACGATGACCAGATAGCTTTCCCAGTAACGATGGCCTGCTTCGCCTCCTCCTTGCTGATCTTCGGGGGCGAGCCGTCGAAGTCCGGGGCGGCGCGAAGAATCGCCTTGAAATTGCCAACCGTCTTGTTGTCGCCCATGGCCGTGGACACTTGCCTCGCGAGGTCGCAATGCGAGGGGGGACAGCCCAGCTGCACTTTCGGGCAAAACAGCGACTGAAGACAGCCGAACTCAGCGCGCGAGAGGATCTCGCCCTGCCCCCGGCCGTCGCCGCCCCCCCTGCCGCGCGGGGGGGCCGGGGTAAAAGGGAAGGGGCCTGGCGGGCCACGGCGATTGCTGGCAACTTTCTGCGCGCGCGCGCCTCCGCCGCGCTCGTCATGGCCTCGGCCGGGGCGCGGGCTTGCTGGCGATGCGCGGCCTCGGTCTCCTTGGCTGTCTCCTCGCGCGGGAAGTTGGAATGCTCGCTGTCGAACTTGCCCGGCCTCTCGCGCGCGCGTTCGACCTGCTGATCGCGCAACTCGTCGGGGGAAGGAGACGAGCTGTCGCGGCGCCGGCGTGAACGGCGAGAGCGGTCGCGGCAATGATTTGCCCACTCGATCCACCGGTTGCGTCCGCGACCACGCCGCTGAGAGTCGCCCCGCCCGCGGCCGCGACGGGTCGACTTGCCGGCCGCGACGGCCATCTGCTCTAGAAGGAGAAGTTTCCGCCGCCGTCGAAAATGGGACCCCGCACTTCGAGCCGCCCGCCACGGCGGAAAAGGCACGGGCGAAGGCTCGATTGAGAGGCGAGGGGGGGGCTCAGCGCGCGCCCCACATGCGAGCTCGAGAAGCCAGACCGCCGACGCACCCATCGGCAGCCGCATCGCACGAGACCGAGCCAAGCGACCAGCAAACATTCCAAACAACGCTCCGAACGATCTACGCAACGCACCAGCCCAGGGAGCAACCGCCGACAAGCCGCGATCGGCAGTCGCGCCAAAAATCCGACTGCGATTCGGATATTTCGTGGATGTCAAGGTTTCGGCGCGCAGCGCCACTGCATGCAATTCCAGCCATGCATCACTGGATAGTACATTGTCAAATTTGCATGTCGGAGAAATCGAAACATTGCGAGCAGCAGGTTGACGCGCCGACCCGCAGCGTTTGCAATGCCCAAAGCTAATGCTGACGACGTCGTCGACAGACGGCGAGACTTAATAATAACAAATTGCGATGATGCAGAAGACGGCGGAGACGATGTGCGCGACGACCGTTGAAAAGAACAGGACGAGGACTCGAACTCCACGTTCCTTCTGAGTGGCGAGCAGCGCGCTGAATGCAACGCCGCTCAGCGCCAGTCCCATGATGAGGCCCGTCGACTCAAAGACACATGCAGCAGCCGCTGCAACGCTGAGCCAACGGTAGGAAACCAGCGCGCGTAGCACATGGGCGCGGGGGACACGGGGCCAGCCGCGTCGGGGCCTGACCTGAACATCGCGCCTACGGCGCCCAAGGATCGATTGACTGGGCGACTGATCTGCCAGCCGCCCGCGACGAGCAGATCCGAGAGACGCCGCGGCCTCGCCCGCCGCGAACACCTCGCAGCCCACCTCGCCGACGTGAAAGACGCCGCGGGCAGCGCGGAAAATTTTTTGAAGGCCCCAGGCGCCCGGCGAGCGGCTAGTATCAGCGACCCCCCTGCGTCGCGAACGCCCTCGCATGCCGCGCGTGCGAGCGCCAGTGGGCAGGCGGCATTTCCCCTTTGCCGCGGGGAATACTGGTGGAGTTCGCGTCGCCACGGAAGTCGAAGACATCGCTCTCCGCGAACGCAGCCGCGGCGACAATGCCAAGAACGCGCGCGACCATGACCGAGCCCCCGCGTCAGACACTGAAATGCCAGTGCAAAGTAGCCAGCCGCCGCCACGTTGAATTGCGCGGTGCATCACATCAAATCGTTGGAATGGGCCAGCAAATCTTGGCATTCATCACTATCGCATGCAATGTAAAGTTTCCCACGACGGGTATATCAGACATCGGGGGCGCCATTCCGCGTCGCGCCATTCCGCCGGCTGCGCCTCGCGACCAGGACAGACTTCTCGCCGAGAAACCCGTCGGATAATTATTTGCCAGACGTGTTCTTGAACTCGAGATTTGCCAGCCCAAGAACGAACGCAATGTTAAACGCGGTCATGCAGACGCATTGAAGTTGATCATTGTGGAAGACGCAACACCTGGGGCACAGCGGAGATCGAGCGAAACCCATTCTGAAGACAAAGAGCGCGTGGGGAAGGAGTGAGCTTCACGAAACGATGGCAGAACGGTGGCAAAGGCATTCCAAGCCGGCACGCGGTCAAACACCGCCCGATGACGAGGACGACGCCACCTTTGAACGCAACCCAGCTTGGGAGCATAGACCACTCGATCAAGAACGCGGCGCTGTATGACGCGGTGCTCGCCACGGCGAAAACTGGGAGGCACGCGGGATGCAGGGGCCCGCAAAAACGGTTAACCAGCCCTCCGGAGAAACCGACCAAACTTAAGCTGCACCGCGTACATCACAGGATATGAAGCAATCAGCACCAGAGCTAGCATTGCTGCGCAATGGAGCATGTCAACACCTGTTTGGGCCACGAAATTACATGACCTGGAACGCGACGCATTGCGGCCCACGACAACAGGAGCACGACACGTTCAGGAGTAAAGACGTGCAGGGGCCGCATTAACCAGTCGCCAAGAAACATGTCACGTAATTGACGACGGCACGCCCGCTGGATACGCAGTCCCGAAGCGCACGCCATGCCGAAGGCGACGCCGCCATGAAGGACTTGACCTCGTCTGCCAGTCAAAATTTGTTTAATGCCCGCAGTCGGCGCAGCTGCTCAAACGCCCTCCTGCTCTCGACCCTGCAATTCTGCTAATGGAAAAAAGCTGGGGCCCCTTGCCCAGAACAGCTCGCATTGAAACCGAGACGCGCTACGCGCAGCGCCGCGCGTGGAAAGCAGCAGCAAAGGCAGGGAGCGGGAAGCAGGCAGCAGAGGGGGAACGAGGAAGAGCAGAGAGCAACCCAGAGAGAGGCAGGAGAGCGAGCGAGAGAGGAGGCAGCAAGGCAGAAGGGCGGAGACCATCGCAAACAGCAAGCAGAGCGCAGCAGCAGGGAGGGCGGGGGGCCAAGGAACTGAAGGCCAGGTGAAACCCAAGGGGCATTAGGAAGCGCGGATACCCTGCCCCGTAGGAGAACCAAGCCAGATCCACTGCAAGTGAGCCCGCGAGCCCAGGCAGCGAGGGTGGGGGCCGAGGAAGACAGGGAAAGAAACACGAATAGACATCGTTAGGGTGTGCACAACAAAACCAGCCCGGGTCCTACCAAGTAGGGTCGGGCACGGCTGGGCGCGCACACCTGCGGCGCAGGTGGCCTTGAAAAAAATACACTGGAAACGAAAAAGAAAGAACGTCGGGGGGGGGGGGGGGCGAAGAGCGCCGGCCACCCCGAGAGCTACGCGCCCGGCCCCAGAGCACGTGCACGAGGGGCGATAGAGAAAAGAGGAAGAGGGAGAGAGGGGGCAGAGCATACACTCAGACGCGCTCAGAACACGTTGTGGCGTGGTCTGGTAACCGAGCCGCTTTTCGTACACGCGGTGGCCGTCATAAACCTGGAACTGGTTGTCGTCGTGTTCGTGCCCCTCAGCCTCGCTGATATCACGGACTCGGTGCGCGGCGCTGCTCGGCGTTGGTGCTGTCGTAGGCGCCGGCGTTGGTGCTGGCGCCGTGGATGACGTCGCCGCTGGTGCAGGCGCTGGCGTCGGTGCTGGCGTAGCCTCAAACGTGGATGCTGGCATTGGCGCTGCTTTCTGTGATGGCGTCGGCGCTGGTGAAAGCGCAAGCGTCGAGGCTGGCGCCAGTGCGCACCGGTTAGCTGGTAAGCTCACGGGCGCGCTGGCCTTGGTGCCGACGTGGACGCAAGCGTCGGTGCTGGCGTATACTGACGTCGGCGCTGGTGTGCTGGCGTTGGTCGCAGTGTAGTCGTAGGCGTCGGTGCTGTTGTAGGCGCTGGCGTTGGTGCAGGCGTAGGCGCAAACGTAGATGTCACGGGCTCGGTGCGCGGCGCTGCTCGGCGTTGGTCCTGTCATAGGCACCGGTGTTGGTGCTGTTGCAAGGGCTGACGTCGCCGCTGGTGAAGCGCTGGCGTTGGTGCCGGCGTCGGCGCAGGCGTTGATGCTGGCATTGATGCTGACGTCTGTGATGGCATCGGCGCTGGCGAAAGCGCAAGCGTTGAGGCTTGCGCCAGCGCGCACCGGTTAGATGGTCAGCTCACCGGTGCGCCGGTGTTGGTCCCGATGCGGGCGGAAGCGTTGGTGCTGGCGTAATACAGACGTCGGCGTTGGTGTAGGCGCTGGCGTTGGTCGCAGTGTAGTCGTAGGCGTCGGTGCTGTTGTAGGCGCTGGCGTTGATGCAGGCGTAGGCGTAAACGTTGACGTCGTCAAGTTGACGTCACGGACTTGGTGCGCGGCGCTGCTCGGCGGTGGTGCTGTCGTAGGCGCTGGCGCTGGTGCCGCTGCCAGGGCTGATGTCGCCGCTGGTTTAGGCGCTGGCGTTGGCGCCAGCGTAGGCGCAAACGTTGATGCTGGCATTGATGCTGACGTCTGTGATGGCGTCGGCGCTGACGGAGGCGCCAGCGTTGGTGCCAACGCCGGTGCGCACCGGTTAGCTGGTCAGCTCACCGGTGCGCTGGCCTTGGTGCCGACGTGGGCGCAGCTGGTGCTAGAGCGTACTGACGTCGGCGCTCGTGTAGGTGCTGGCGTTGGTCCTGTGTAGTCGTGGGCGTCGGTGCTGGTGTAGGCGCTGGCGTTGGTGCCAGCGTCGGCACAGACGTTGATGTCACGGACTCGGTGCGCGGCGCTGCTCGGCGTTGGTGCTGCCGTAGGTGCCGGCGTTGGTGTTGTTGCCAGGGCTGACGTCGTCTCTGGCGTAGGCGCTGGCGTTGGTGCCCGCGCGGGCGCAGGCCTTGGTGCCGGCGTGGGCGCTGGCGTCTGCCAGTTAAGACCTTTGAATTTCCACGTCGGTCATCAGACGACGCCCTTGCGCATCGATGAACTTGGTTAGCCGACGGGGCGCCTGTGCGCATACCGAAACTATCGAAGTGCAACGCACTCGAACTGGTTCCCAAGAGGAACACCAATAAAAAGAACAGCGAACCCAGACTGGGACGCAATTGTCTAAGTCATGGTCGATCATGCTTCCCTGCCTGCAAAAGGTAGCGACAACGATCAGAAAGACGAGGACCGAGACCAGCGCGCGAATCACGTCGTCGGTCAGCCTTTCCAAGCTATACGCCAGCGTATGAACCGAGAACATAGACAACGAATGAGAAACCTGTCACTGCGCCAATGCTCGCACGACGTGCCATGGCGAACACATCCTCTGAATCACCACGGACTGCTGCCTTCCATTCTCGAGTAAGGGTATGACACGCTGAAGCCACTTGAGAGGTGGGCAACATTGATGTGCCCGCTGGGTGCAAAGAACACAACACTCGATGAAGAAGTTGGCCAGCGCATAGTTAAAGCCAAGACCCACGTAGCGACTTTGAAGACCGAAAGGAACCAGCCACACCTTGCACAGTGTGGTAGGTAATGACGGACACTGAGAGCAAATACAACGACTCTGATGGTGACACAAACCAGCACCAATCGACGATAGCGCGAGCCCGTTCTTCGTGTGTTCCAGTAGCATCGGCATGGAAGAAGCCGGGACAAAACATATCCAAATTACATCGTCCGTCAGCAGAGACATCTGGATAAGGCCAGCGGAAGCGATGCTAAATTTCAGGACCTGTTGGCAGTGGCACGCAAGTTTCGTGAAGATCGAAAGCCGCTCCCAGAAAAAAGCCTGTCGACTATGGATCCTGAGAAAATGAAATCCAACTGACGAAATCGAGGGGGCACAACTGGTACACGGCAAGGTAGACCACTAATTCCCGTCGCGTGCAAAGGCAGCCGGTACAGCAGTGCTCGAAGAGAGGCTGAAGCTAAGATGAAAGAAGCCACACATTAGTGCACTTGTCTCCCGGAGCCGTCGCGACGGGCGTGACGGGCGACGAGCCGTCACGCACCCGTCCTATGAGCACGGCCTGGGGACGCGAGCGCGCTCCTTGTGCCCAAAAGGCAATGGGCAACAGCAGCAGAAGGAGGAAGAAGGGGACCATGTCACCTGTTAGCTCGGCTGTTCGCCGGACGGCCTGTCACCTGTTAGCTCGGCGGTTCCCTGGGACAGCCTGTCACATGTTAGCTCGGTCGTTCGCCAAAGCCGCATGTCACCTGTTAGCTCGACGGCGGGCGCGCCGGGACACAGAAATGCATGCATCAGGGTGGGATGGAGAGAAAGAGAGAGAGCGAGAGAGAGAGAGAGGGAGAGTGAGAGAGGGAGAGAGGGAGAGAGAGAGAGAGGGAGGGAGAGAGAAGGTGAGAGAGAGAGAGAGGAAGAGAGTGATTGAGGAAGTGGCGAGGGTGCGAGGCGCAAGGAAGGAAGAGGAGGAGGAGGAGGAGAAGGATGGTGCGGGGAGGACGAGGTGGAGGAGGACCAGGAGGAAAACTGCGGAACAAAAAGGAAAAGCAGAAGAACGAGGAGGAGGACGAGGGGATGAGGAGGACGAGAATGAAAAGGAGAAGGAGGAGGAGGAGGAGGAGGACGGGAGGAGAAGGAGTGGGCGTAGGAAGAGGAGGCAGGGAGGAGGAGAAGCGGGAGAAGAGGAGGACGAGGCCGGGGAGGAGGAGGACCAAGCGAAACCCGGAATGCATCAAAGATTCTGCAGAACACCCTCCCGTCCCACAAGCCCTCTTCGAAAACCAATGCAAGAGAACACTTCTGCTACGGAATTGAGCCTTGAAAGACGAGCGCCCCATGAGACTGCCATTCGAGCGTGAGAACCGTTTTGAAAAATGGTTCGCCCTCCATGCAACTGCTGCACATTCCTCAACCCATGGCCATCACATCTTCCTTATTAAGCAATATACAACGGGAGCCCTCCATCCGTTTAAGTGTTGCACGGCGTCCAACTTCAAACCATAAAATATAAAGACATCCGAAGCGAGAGCCCAGCTTGAGGAGGGACTCGCACTCCATCGATTGGGAACGTTTAGGACGAGCGTGCGCGCGCTGAGAGCAAAGCCACATGCTGAAACAGATTCGCATTCCTGTAATCGAACTGGATCAGTGTTCAGCGAATGTGCACGGAGTTGGGGCGAGAGCAACAATTTGACAACGATTTGCCCCCCGCCCGTGCAACTGCTCGAGGCTAAGACAGAAACGAATACGTGGTGCTACAAGTGAGAGCCACAATTCAAAGGGTTCGCCCTCCATCCGTGTAACTGGTCGAAGCGCTTAGGACAAGCGGGCACGGCGCAACATCGAGGGCCACATGTTGAAAATGCCTCTTCCTCTACCCGTGCAACTGATGGACATTTCATGCTTAACCTCATACATTGCGCCAGCGCCACAAAACGAAACGCCCAGCTGGCACGACCGATACGTCTGATGATGCGACGAAGCGGAGTTATTTGAAAGGAAGAGTGAGTGAGAATGAGGAGGAGAAAGGGGGAGGACCACCCCCTCGACCACCCCCCCCGTTCCCTGTCCCTCATTATGGTTCCTCCTCTCTGCCCAGGGCACCCTTCCCTTCACTCCTACCCGTCCTGCCCGTATGAGCGCAGGAGGCCTCGAGGGGACTCAAGCGCCCATGCGGGGGGCATCCTGCGGAAACTAAGGAAGCCTCCTTTTCCTTCTCCTCCTCCTCCTCCTCCTCCTCCTCCCTTTCCTGCTCCTCCTCCTTCACCTCCTTGCTCCTCCTTGCTCCTTGCCCCTCCTCCTCCTCCTCCTCCTCCTCCACCCGGTGTTGCGGGCGCTGCGCCGCCCGTCATGGGGCTCGTGGGTGTGTCCTTCTTCCGTGTCTGGCCGCGCGCCTTCTCCGCGCCAGCCGCCCGCGGGGCCAAGGACGCCTCTATCTCGGGATGCACTTCTCTCAATGCTGATTATCCTCCTCTTCCTCCTCCTCCTCCGCTGCACCGCGCGCGCGCATGCCGGTCCTGGGCGACCTCCGTCTGGGACCGTGCGCTCGCGAGCGCCTCGTCGCCGGACTTGGCGTCGTCGTCCTCGTCACCCTCGTCGAGGGGTTCGTCCTCGTCGTTCGTGTCCTCGTCCTCCTCGGCGCCGGGGTCGTCGTCCTGCGGCGGGTGCGCTGAAGTGGGACGCGTACCTCCTCCCCTCTTCCTCTCCAGTTCCTTATCCCTGTCTTCCCTCTATTCCGCCCTCGCCGCTCCTACTCCTCTTCCCAGGTACTGCGTACTACGTACTACGCACTGCGCATTACGTACTAGATGCTGAGTGCGTGGTATGACTATGACTACGATTACTGCTACTACCACTACCACTACTACTACTACTACTACTACTACTACTACTACTACCACCACCACTACTGCTACTACTACTACTACTACTACTACTACTACTACTACTACTACTACTAGTACGACTACTACGACTACTACGACTACTACGACTACTACGACTACTACTACTACTACTACTACTACTACTACTACTACTACTACTGCTACTACTACTACTACTACTACTACTACTACTACGACGACTACTACTATTACTACTCCTACTACTACTACTACTAATACTACTACTACTGCTACTACTACTACTACTACTACTACTACTACTACTACTACTACTACTACTACTACTACTACATACTACTACATACTACTACATACTACTACATACTACTACATACTACTACATACTACTACATAGTACTACTACTACTACTACTACTACGGCTACTACTGCTA